TAGGTAAAAATTGGCGATTTGGGTTTGGCTGCAATAGTTGGTAAGAGCCATTGTGCACATTCAATTCTGGGGACACCTGAATTCATGGCTCCTGAGCTGTACGAGGAGGAATACACGGAACTGGTGGATATATATTCTTTTGGCATGTGTTTGCTTGAGATGGTGACCCTTGAACTGCCTTACAGCGAATGTGATAATATTGCCAGAATTTACAAGAAGGTGACATCTGGAGTAAGGCCAGATGCCATGAACAAGCTAAAAGATCCAGAGGTGAAGGCCTTTATTGAGAAGTGTTTGGCTCATCCAAGGGACAGGCCTTCTGCTGCCGACCTCCTCCATGATTCCTTCTTCCATGATATTTCTCATAATGATGATGACGAAAACTGAAACCGACTTACTTCTTGCACAAGTCATCCTCACATGGTAATGTCGTGTTGTATGTTTACAATATTTTTGGTGTGTTGAATGTTTGTAATTCTTTTAGTGTGTTATTCCGGTGAGATGGGCGTTGATTGTGTTTCTAAAGTTTGTGAATTGTAATAGGATTTGGTAAATATCACTACTAGGGAGTTTTTCCTCGTGAGATCCATATTTTGTACATAGATTTTGGGCTATATTGATATTATTCTTTTTAAGAAAAAATTATTCAAGAAGATAATTAACTCTTGATTTTGTTCACAATCCAATTGCAAAACAAATAAATGACTATATATAATTTATGTCGTTCATTGAATTCAACAAGTTAGATATCGAGTGAATTAGTTATATTAATTTCTAGCGTTATATCATCGTTAATAACAAGATTTAATAGTCATGATTGATTCAATTTATGTTTCAGATCTTGCTACCTTACGTATCCTTAGTCACAAAAAAATTCCGATCAAATCATTCAATTTGAAGAATTTGTGTAATCATCTTATAACTACGTTATAGAAATCGGGAATACACCTCCGGTCATTAAAAGATAATATTAACGGTTAGATATCTTTTATCCCACTAGCTTATACAAATGACATGTGGGTGCTATTAAAATATGATTGTATATATTTGAGTTTAATAATGAGTATTTGAGGTTTTTATATTTCTAGTTTAAAAAACATATTATATCATAACTATTGCATTCATTCAATAAGCAATTGCATATTTTTATTTAAAATCATATTTTAACAGTGTTCTTTTATAAGATCCAAATTTTATAGCCACAAAATTTAAAATTTAATAACTATTATTAAGTTTGGATGTTTGCTCGTTAAAGAACATTTATTTAACTTTTAATAAAATTTTATGTTATAAAATAAAGTTTGGTTTTTGATAAGTCTTTAAAATCTCAAATTTAAACTTATACATTTCTAATTGTGAAATTTACCAGTAGCTAGTTTAATTAACGCGATCAAATTTTAAATTTAATAACCAGTATTAAATTTGGACGTTTGAACGTTAAAGAATATTTATTTACCTTTTAATAAAATTTCTTTTTATAAAATAAATTTTGGACTTTGATAAGTCTCAAAAAGCTCAATTTTAAACTTATAAAGTTCTAATCGTGAAATTTACCATTAGCTAGTTTTAAACGATAAAACTCGTTTTATTTTTAAAACAATCACCTAGTCACTTTAAATTTTATCAAACCTACTTGTTCAACAGGCCTCATCGGTCTCACAAGTACTTCATCCTACTTATGTTCTTATTTTAAGCATCAAAGTCCGGTTGAAGATAAATCACCCACTAAGGCCTATACATGAAAAAAGGTCTTTCAATGTTTCTTTACAAACATTTGATCGTATTCACGGGAAACCACACACACACTTCTCAGTCTCTCTTGACTTTGAAGGAATAGATTCGTGCCCGGGATCATTCAGTTTATGTCTTCAAAGACATCACATTTATCCCACACACGTCTTGCTTTATTTCTTTTTCTTTGGCACACTCTTGCACAAAGATATTTATGATTTTCCAAACTCTTGTTTGTGGTACTAACGACACTTTTCAGATTTGTGTTTTCGGTTCTAAAGGCTAAGGTGGTTTACTTTCTTATGGAGGAGCGAAAGTTGTTTACTATGAAGAGAATGACTAAGTCCCGTTTACAGCTGGTTGTACTGGACTTTGAGGAATTGAGGAGACAGAAATTGGATAAGAATTCCACATGGGATAAGATCTGGGCGCGTGAATTTGAAATGTTTCCTATACCCACGCCTGCTGACGTAAATCTAGGAATTCCAAGCTGTCAAATCGTGCTTTTTCAGGTGCCGTTTCAGAGATCGTATCATCATCACAGTGGATCATTTCTCTCTCTCTCTCTCTCTCTCTCTCTCTCTCTCTCTCCAGGAAACGGTATAAAAGGTGTCTCACACGTACTGTACCTTCTCACATTCTTTTACCTCTCTCTCGAATACAACTGTTCATCTTCTTCTTCACTGCAACAATGGCGGAATCATCCTCTCTTCAAGAACAAACAACTTAATCCACTTTGCTTTCGATAAAACCCAATCAGATTATTCAACTGAACGCTTTTGTTTATGATTCGTACATGCTTCACGTGGTAGAATGTCTCAAGTATTCTCCATTGGTGATCGCTCTCACACAGGTCGAGTTAGTACCCATGTCCCTTCTTTCTCAGGTCTATTCAACAGTTTCATACGACAAAAACAAAGAACTGCTCTTCTTTGATATCTTTAATCACAAAACCTCTGTATCCAAGACACACTTTTGTTCTCTTCTAGGGCTTGCTACTAATGCCTCTATAATCTCTCCAAATTTTATCACAACATCTCAACTATTTTCGATGTTCTATGAAATGGGATACATAGACGTTCTTACTACCGTGACGAAATTCAAGAAGTCGTGTTTACCTCTACAATGGAATGGTTTGTTTTCACTGATATACAAGGGGTTAGAAGAAAGGGTTGCAGGATCTTATGGGGCGAGTAAAGGCTTCATGACCATTCTTTATGGTCTCTATAATGGAATCCATTTGGATTATGGATCTTTAATCTGGTCACAGCTGGTGCAGAGCCTCAAATCCTCATCTAAACATTCTGAGATATCATGCGATAGTTTCTTGACAATTATCACATGCAGGGCAATTGAGAATTTTCAAATTCTAGTTATGGCGGATGCTCTTCTGTCTTCGGTTGTTACGTTTCACACAACGAAAATCATTTTCTCTGATCGAACAAAGTTTTTGTATGTCGGTTCTATTCCGGAATCGATGAGTTGTTGTGTATCAAGAGAAAGCAAAGTCATGGCTGATTACAAGAAGTTGACACCTTCGAGTCCACGCCAACTTACTCTTGAGATGCAGAGTGCCTTGGATGCTGCTGATAAACCAGCCAAGACAGGGAAGAAACCAGAATGTAAGAAAACCAGGACCGAAGGTCCCTCATCTCCAAAAAAGCGTAAGGCTAATAAAGATGCACCTTCAGCTCTGTCACACCCCAAAACCGAAAACGGTAGAAACATTCTGGGGTGGAGGACGTCATGTAATGTATCATAACAATGCAAAGTAGTAAACAAGAAACAACATCATCCATTGCATTAATAGTATAATTTTAAATACATGAGTGTTCTTTCATAGTATAAAACAACAAAATGAATGTTCAAAATAAAAGACGAGTCTTGACTGCTCCGTCTTCGCAAAACCTGGTCGTCGTACCTATCTATTTGTGACCTGAGAATACAAGTTATTTTGAAAGCGAGTATCAGCAATAAAGCTGGTGAATTCATAAGTATTAATGTGTATTTGATTTGTAAAACTGTAAAGAAAGACTTGTAAATGTTTGAAGAAAAGTTTGTATCATGAACATATTTGTAAGTAATTATAAGCATTTGACAACCCTAGAAAATCCCATATTTCCTACTAGTATAAAATGTAGTCTTCTACCAAGACCCAACTGTTTTGAAAGTAGCCTTCTACCAAGACCCGACTGTTTTGAAAGTAGCCTTCTACCAAGACCCCATTGTTTTGTAAGTAAGCATCACTATAAATGTGACGTTTTTTCCCCTGTATAACTATTATTATATAACTATAGTCTACCTCATCGTTTATGTGTATGAGTCACAATATAAAGGTCATAAGGAAAATAGTCTATCTATATCAAATATATCCTACCTCGTCGTTCATGTGAATGTGTCACAAAGTAAAGGTAGGAAGGAAAATAATATAATAACTAAAACTGTATCCTTTTGTACTAGGATATTCACGGCGTGGAAACTCGCCGAACAGTACAACCGTAGACACCCGTCGATGAGCATTTTCCCTACTGTAGCTAACAGCCTTGGGTGTGGAATGGTAAGTCCCGAAACGTATGTAATAGATTCTATGTAATAGTATCTATTTAAACGTATCAATGTAAACATATTTATGTAAACGTATCTATGTAAACGTATCTATGTAAACGTATCTATGTAAACATATCTATGTAAACGTATTTATGTAAACGTATTCGTGTAAACGTATCTATGTAATTGTATGTAATCGTATCTCTTCATATAGTATGTAATGTATTAGCATAGACTCATGAATGAACTGACTCTTGTGTGATTCCTTGTACTTGGAATAGTAAGTAGTATCTCCTAACTATACCTATTATAGTTACTATTAATGTTCGTGTATAACCGAAAGTATGCCTTTGCTACCCAAAGTTACTGAACTGACTGATGGAAATTTTATGTCTATATATGTATACATGATATATAACTAATATTTAGATGACATTCGGAAGAATAACCGGTGCTCTAAGGCCACATCCCAACGAGGAAAAGGAAATAAAGTGAGCTAGCCATCCTAAGTCCTTTAAACATTACTTATATAACTATACATATATAGGCATGCATTTGACAATATAAAAGTTTAAAAGAAGTTTTGTAAAACCTTTGAAAAGTTTGATAACTAAGAAAATGATGACTTGATGTCAGTTTATAAAATGATTTGAAAGTAGTTTGTTTGATAAGACAGTTTGATAAAGAGTTTTAAGCATGTAAAAATGTTTGAGAAAGTCATTTGAAGTGATATGTTTGGTAAAACAACTAAACGTGTAGTAAATCCATTTGTATGCTAGTTATTAATCGCATGTGATTGATATAATAACTAGCATGATTCAACTTGTATCCCCCCCCCCATAAAAGCATTTATAAACATTTCAAAACATTTCAAAGGTTGATTAAGGGGTATGAACTCACTTGATAGATTGAAGAAGGTGAGACGAAAGTCGGGCAGAACTTCGACTGGAAAGAAGTCGATTTCTCGGAATTCTTGGGACTTCGGAACTTGCGTCGTGTGTTGGAGGTGTTACTAGGGCTTCGGGGTGGTCTTAGGATGCTTACCACAGAGTGGAAGTGGGAGAGAGGATAGAAATGAGCAGCCAAACTCGGAAGGCTTCAATTTCTAT